CCCAGCAGAGATATCAGTATGACTGGGCTCTAACAAAACAGAAACCATGAGAGCAGATATTGAATAACATCTGAGTTACACCAGTCATGCAGGATATGTGAGACCCAATCTCTTCCAGGACAGACATGAAGAAAACTCTCTCATGAGCACATTCTAAAACCACAACTTTCAGATCTTTCTGGTGGGTCTGTCTGAATGACTCCTGATGAAGATACGGTGTGATTGTGAGACATCTGAGTATTCATTAGAGAGGAYCTCAAAGAACTCTCAACCCTTTCCTGCATCTGATCTAAGAGACATCATCCTTTTATTTTTTTCTCAGACTGATTGAATGGGTATTTAATGAGCCCATACAAAGCTGAACAGCTTCAGTGGGACAGAGAAAGCAAGAGTTGCTCAAAAAGAACTCTCCTCCTGGGAGATATTGGTTCAAGTTCCTTCAGTGAGATAAGAGACTTCAACCTTGGTCTTTCATACCCCAAGGAATCAATCTCAAATATTAATGCTTTTTATTAMCTGACGTGGCACCATTTCCTCTTGTGTGTGAGAAAATCCAACCTCATTAAACACTTAACCTTGGGAGATTACTAGACAATGTAACACAAGAAAAGGGAAACACCATATTCCAACAGCTGCCAGGACACTAACTCTCTGTCCTAGTCCCCACCAGGTACTTTTTGGGCATGCCAGGTGTAAGGAATCTCATTTTAGGTGGCATTCCTGGCTCTATAGGACCTTGGTGCCTGACTTGGTGATGCAGCTTCCACTTGGAGACAAAGAGGTAACAAAAGAAATGTTCCAATTCCAAACCCAAATATCCTTGCTGGGCTTAGTGATGGCTGTCATGGAAAGACAACATCCATCAAGTGACTCTCAGTTCATGCACTTCCCTTAGTTAAGGGCATAATTGATTTCCACAGAACTCCACAGAAGAACTTCCATGGACTTCACCAGGAAGTGGTTTATTTCTCAGTGYCCCTAATTCCACCATGGTGTTTAAGCACTCTGTTCACTAGGTCTACAATGTAGAGTGCTTACATGCCAAATGGAGCACAGTTTATCTCAGTTCTCATAAAACTCTACTGCAAAAAAAGAAATGGAAGCTGTTAAATAATTCAAGGGTGTCATAGCCATCAGMTGGCTGAATACCTGTGAAACAGAATGTGCTTACAGAATATGACACTAAACCTTGTCTTACTCAGAAGTACTACCAAGAAAAAAATATAAACACATAGCAAAGACTKTTTTTCTCCTCATCCTGGATATCTTTTAATAACAATGTGACCACAACATTTCATACCTAAGCAAGGATGAAATGTGATTTCAAATCAACATCACTTTTTAATCTCTGKATGTAAATTGTGTGTAAGGTTGCAGTTGAAGCAACAAGATGATATACCATTGGGACAACAAAATAACTGTTACATCTGTGTCYCAAAATTAGCTTTACATTTAAAGCTACCACAGCTAACACTACAAAGGTCCCTGGATCATAGCAGCTGCATAGAATAATAGAAATCACTTGTTCCACAGATGTCCCACGGTCTCTAAGTCAAGAGGTGCAGTCCTCTCTGTATACACCAATGGTCTATAYRGCCAAGCRGCTTCGGCCTCCCAGAGAGCCCTCSAGCAKGGCAGGTATTTTGGCCTCAAAAGGGGCTATCGAACTTTCAGGCATAACAAATACCATACAAGCCATATTGAGATGCCCCACAATGGTATTTTTATGTCAGGAACCAGTAGGTTTGTGTTGCTGCATTAAACAATAGATTGAGAGCATATGGAGGTGAAGTTCAGCTGTGAAAGTGAACAACCCTGCTTGCTTGCAGTCTCTATGGGGACTCAGATGAAGCAGTTGCTGGAGTGAACCCACTCCAGAAGCCAAGATGTGTTTTGTGTGGGGTGGAGCTTTCTCTMCAAAACAGAACATACAAATAACAAATATTTATGCAATCTGAACCAGCAAGTGACTGGAACCTGGACTGACCCCAGGGAGGCATTGTGTTTAACAGCCTGGGCTCCCCCACTGACTTCAGGGCATGTTCAAGCACGGCTGTACCTGTGGGTCCATGTGCTCCCTCTGTGATGTGCACAAAGCTCAGCACCCCAAAACTGGGTAACAAATGCCAGCACACTGAGCARGGACTCACCCAACTGAGGACCCTCCAACAGGAAAGTCAGAGGTGCCTTCACCTCTGTCCTGCTGCAGCTTGGGCTCCCGGCTCAGGAACTGCACAACCATTCCTGCCTCCACTTGATATCCAAAGGCTGCATTATCTTTAGCAGATAAGCACCAAATACCTCTTTTTTTTTTTTTTTTTTTTTTTTTTTTTTTTTTTTTTTTCCCCAAACACTATACAAGAGATCAATTTTTTCTCTAAAAGCACAGTCAGTGAGGTAGAATGCACTTTCACCAGCCACTCTGCCATCCATGTGTTTGCAGAGTTTAGCTGCTTCAAGGCTTAGAGGTTAAGGATGAAGAAGTTTTAAGCATCAAAATTTTAGGCACTAGTCCAAGTTACRTGTAGGCACTGTAAATTCTTTGTGGATTTTCCACCCAATTCCTTACCTACRTGTGCAGTAAGCCATTATGGATGTGGTATACAATACAAAAATACTTACCAATGGTTTCTCATCCTAGAAAGCAGCTGATTTAATAGAGAATACGGATTCCATGGAGCAGTCATGGAAAGGAAACTCAAAGAGATCAAAGAGGTTAAAGCAGCTGACAAGGTAC